ATGTACGCGTACTTGGAAAAACCATACTGTGGGGACCAGCGGACGGCATCCTGGTTACGCTGCTGGACTCTCACGTAGTTGATCACAGTTCAAGTCCTGGACCCGGAAGCTAAAAAACTCAGGCCAGGCCGGCACGTGTGTGCATGTGTGTGTGTGTGTGTGCGTGCGTGTGCGCGCGTGTGTGTGTGTGCGCGCGCCCAGAATCCCAACAGGAGAATGCAGAAGGGACTGCTGTGTGACCACTTACCCCTCGGGGGTGATTTCTCGCGTTCTGTCTCTCTCTGTCTCTCCAGCGAGTGCACGCACTCTGTAGCAAAAATCTTTCCTAAAAGAAAAGAGAAACCATAGTGTGTGCTTTAACCATGTACAACAATTAAATGTGAATAAAATCATAAGAGAAAAAAATTAAGAGAGCTCAGCAGAGACATTAAAGGCAGGTTAGCGCCAAGTGGAGACGTCTGTGAGATAAGCTGATGGAAAGCAGCTGAGGGACTTGAACCCGGGCCTCCCTGCACCCGCCGGGTACTTGCCTAGTGCTCCCGATCCTGGCTGAGGCTGAGGTGGGGGTTTCTGGGAGACCCTGTGTCTGATCCTCTTTCTCTTAGAAGAAAGAAACTTCTAGAAAAAGCGATCCATAGCAGAAGAATAGAACATATGTATACATCCATCATATATGTATACATATCATTTCTATTACGAAAAAAATTTCAAACGTACAAGATCTTCAAGAAGTTCGTGGAAAGCATACGATGAAGAAGGGCTGCCCCCCCACCCTGGGGTTAGGAGAGTCAGATCCCACATGGTGGCTGCGGTTCGAATCCTCACCCAGTGACTTGAAACACGTGGTAGGCGCTTGTAGGTGTGCCTGAATTCCTGACGGGACGGAGAAGTGGAGGAAGAGGGCGTGGGGCGTGACCACACCCCGTCGGGGCTGCTTCTCTAAGCAGTGCACGGGCGACGTGTCGCTTCGCACTAACGTACACGCGCACTTCCGCTCTGCCTTCCCGGGGTGTTCCGGGCCCCCTTGTGCCCCCCGTGGCCTCCGGCTTGCGCTAAGGAACAATATCGTTTTCTTTCTTTCAGAGGTGCTGGAAGGCAGTTCCATCATCAGCTCAGCCCTACAGCCTGCGAAAGCCGCGCTGGAAATAGCACCGGCCTCTCCTTACCTATCGTCAAGCCGCCCCCACCCAGCAAAATCAGAGCAGTTCCTTGGTATCGTTGAATTCCCAGTCCAAAGTATTTCCTTAGTTTTCATTTAAAAAATGCTTTTCTTCTCAGCAGGTTTTTTCTTCTTCTTTGGTCTATAGGGCACATGTGCTCACCGGAGACAGAGACTCAGAGAAAGAGTGGGAAAGTGAGAAAACACCCCTGGGGGGGGCGGTCATGCCACAACTCTTCGCCTCCATTCTCCTTTCAGGATTTTGGGCACGCAGGCTCACGTGCCTAGCGTGTTTTTAAGTCCTGGGTCCAGAACTGCAGCTACACGGTCAGCCATGTGGGATCCAGCCACCCTAACTCTGGCCACCAGCCAGCCCCACACCAGGTTTCTTTGAAGCTGAGTCTAAACGGCTTTTTGTTATCAAGTTACTACTTCTCTCTAAATCGAGAGTATCTGTCTGATAGTTTTAAAATCTAATAAAACAACTTCTGGTAAACCTAAGCAAAAAATGGAAGAACTTTTTATTTGCTCTAAGAGAATTAACTTTTTAAAGGAAGTTACTGTTCACAAGGGTAGTGGGTGGGTTATATACTCAAAACTGGCGATGCGGGTGATTTCCTCCAACCACAATGTAAGCCCAACTCCAGAATTTCAAGGCAAAGGGTTTCATGACCTAGGTCATTATAGTTCAAATAGTTTCTTGCAACCAACCTCCTGAATTTCACTTACCAGCATAGGATGAGAATACGAAAGAAAATTTTATTTAAATTAAACTTTTACCCTCCTTGTGGCATCGGCATCTTTTTTCTTTTAATGACAATGAAGGAGAAAGTTGGGGCTGCAGGGGGCTAGTCAGAGACTAGGGTCCTTCTCCTTGTCACCTGTAACCAGAGGGATTCTGAGGGTGACACTATCTTCTTAAAAGCTCCTGGTCCTGGGACCAGCAGTTAGCGTAATGGCTATGTCGCTGGACTTCCATGTAGTCGACTGCAGTTTGAGTCCCGGACCCGGTGGCTTAAAACTCACGCAGGGCGCGTGTGCGTGCGTGCCCAAGATCCCGAGAAGAGAATGGAGGAGAAGGGATTGCGGCGTGACCATCCCCCCTGGGGGGTGATTTCTCGCTTTCTGTCTCTCTGTCTCTCTCTGTCTGGCGAGCACAAGCACCCTATAGCAAAAACAAAACAAAAAACAAAAAACAAAAACTCTCTCAAAAAAAAACCAAAACCCCTGCTGGTCCTAGCTTCGGGCGGTGGTCAAGCGCATGCAATGTGTGTCCCGTAAGCACTCAGTACTCCCTCCCCTGCTTTATCTGTACCACAACACTTACAGTCATTCGCCATTCTGCGTGCTCTGCTTGTTCTCTGTCTGTCCCTCCTGTCTCTTTCTACTATGTGAACCTCACATTGGCAGGAACTTTATTTTATTTTATTTTCCCAGACGGTGTGTGCACTCTTCAGAGAGATACAGAGAGACAGAAAGAGGGAGAAGGAGAAAGCACTCACTCCAGTAGGTCATCGTCACGCTGCAATCCTTCTTCTCTATTTCTCCATCCTGTCAAGATTTTGAACATGCGCGCATACCTGGTTTGTTTTTCAAGTCGCTGGGCCAGAACACAAACCCTGGTCAGCCATGTGGCTCTCTTAAACACTAAATCACAGGGCCACTCCAGGGATGTTCATTTGATCAGTGCTGTATTTCTGGCACTTAGAGTACTGTCTGGCCCCAGTTGGCTTTCTCTGACTATTCTTTTAATAACTGAATGTCTGTCAGTCCTCAGGTTCTGAATCCTGTGCTTGGAGAACCAGATAGGACTCTGGAACAGGAGGAGCAGGAGAAGTCTGCATTGGAAGCTCTACCTTCTCCTGGGGAGATGCAGAGTCTCAGGCCTGAGCAGACACGGGGGCTGCTGGAGCCAGAAAGGGCCAAGTCACTACTACCTCGGGAAAGCAGGGCCTGGGAGAAGCCGCCCCATCCCAACTTCACCAAGGATTGGGAGGCTGTGGAGGTTGGAGCCTCTAGCTGTGACAGTGATGAGAAAGGTGAGGGGAAGGGGTTCGTGAGAGGTGGGTGGGTGAGGGGAAAGTCTAATCCGAGCCTAGGGAAGATCAGACATTCATTCCTTCACTCATTTGTTCAGCAGAGAGCTATGGAGCATCGTATCAGTCAGTTTTGCTGTGTAACAAGTCATCTCATGACTTAGTGGCTTAAAGCAAAAGTCATTTATTTTATTTTATTTTTTTAGAGAAAATTTTGCTATGTGGCACGTGTGCTCGACAGAGAGACAGAAAGCAAGAAATCATTCCCCTCGCCCCCAGAGGGGATGGCCACACCACCATCCCTTCTCCATTCTCTGCTTGGGATTTTGGGCACATACGCACACATGCCCCAGCATGAGTTTTAAGCCACCAGGCCCAGGACTCAAACTGTGGTTGACTACATGGGAGTCCAGTGATGTAACGATGCCATCTGCTGGTCTCTGAAGCAAACTTGTGGGTCAGCAATATGATCTGGCTCAGGGAACACTTCTCCAGCTTCACCGCCTGAGCTGCAGGGGGTCGGCAGGCAGCTATTTGATCTCAGCTGACCTTGCCCCCAGGTCTAGTTGGTGCTGGCTGTTGACTGGCTTTGTGCTGATGATGGGCCACGTGTCTCCAGCAGGCTAACCCAGGTTTCTTCTCAGTGGGGTGGTTGCAGGGTTCTCAGGGACAGCAAGAGACAAAACATCCAATACCAAAGTACTTTTAAAGACTACTGGCAATCCGATTGCTTGCCTGCCATTGGTGAAGGTAAGCGGAATGGTCAAGCCTGTCAACCTAAAGGGTAGGTTGAGGCAAAGTAAGTGAAACAAAATAATTTATCTGGCACAGAGTGAGGAAAATTGCCTGGACACCACACAATCTAAGCTGCCCAAATAATGTGTGCGGAGGTCTTACAGATTTCAGGTTGATTTTGAAAGCGAGAGTGGTGAGTGTGGGGAGAGTATCTGGGAGCCCTGTCCAGCAGTGACTGGATAAATCCTGTGAGGGAAGCAGTATGACCTCATGGTGACCTGGAGTCACAATTCTGAGACGGTGAGTCCGGAAGGTGAAGGAGGGGTGTTGCTGGGAAATGCGGATGTTCGTAAGAAGAGAATGGAGGAGAAGGGATTGCGGCGTGACCATCCCCCCTGGGGGGTGATTTCTCGCTTTCTGTCTCTCTGTCTCTCTCTGTCTGGCGAGCACAAGCACCCTATAGCAAAAACAAAACAAAAAACAAAAAACAAAAAAAACTCTCTCAAAAAAAAACCAAAACCCCTGCTGGTCCTAGCTTCGGGCGGTGGTCAAGCGCATGCAATGTGTGTCCCGTAAGCACTCAGTACTCCCTCCCCTGCTTTATCTGTACCACAACACTTACAGTCATTCGCCATTCTGCGTGCTCTGCTTGTTCTCTGTCTGTCCCTCCTGTCTCTTTCTACTATGTGAACCTCACATTGGCAGGAACTTTATTTTATTTTATTTTCCCAGACGGTGTGTGCACTCTTCAGAGAGATACAGAGAGACAGAAAGAGGGAGAAGGAGAAAGCACTCACTCCAGTAGGTCATCGTCACGCTGCAATCCTTCTTCTCTATTTCTCCATCCTGTCAAGATTTTGAACATGCGCGCATACCTGGTTTGTTTTTCAAGTCGCTGGGCCAGAACGCAAACCCTGGTCAGCCATGTGGCTCTCTTAAACACTAAATCACAGGGCCACTCCAGGGATGTTCATTTGATCAGTGCTGTATTTCTGGCACTTAGAGTACTGTCTGGCCCCAGTTGGCTTTCTCTGACTATTCTTTTAATAACTGAATGTCTGTCAGTCCTCAGGTTCTGAATCCTGTGCTTGGAGAACCAGATAGGACTCTGGAACAGGAGGAGCAGGAGAAGTCTGCATTGGAAGCTCTACCTTCTCCTGGGGAGATGCAGAGTCTCAGGCCTGAGCAGACACGGGGGCTGCTGGAGCCAGAAAGGGCCAAGTCACTACTACCTCGGGAAAGCAGGGCCTGGGAGAAGCCGCCCCATCCCAACTTCACCAAGGATTGGGAGGCTGTGGAGGTTGGAGCCTCTAGCTGTGACAGTGATGAGAAAGGTGAGGGGAAGGGGTTCGTGAGAGGTGGGTGGGTGAGGGGAAAGTCTAATCCGAGCCTAGGGAAGATCAGACATTCATTCCTTCACTCATTTGTTCAGCAGAGAGCTATGGAGCATCGTATCAGTCAGTTTTGCTGTGTAACAAGTCATCTCATGACTTAGTGGCTTAAAGCAAAAGTCATTTATTTTATTTTATTTTTTTAGAGAAAATTTTGCTATGTGGCACGTGTGCTCGACAGAGAGACAGAAAGCAAGAAATCATTCCCCTCGCCCCCAGAGGGGATGGCCACACCACCATCCCTTCTCCATTCTCTGCTTGGGATTTTGGGCACATACGCACACATGCCCCAGCATGAGTTTTAAGCCACCAGGCCCAGGACTCAAACTGTGGTTGACTACATGGGAGTCCAGTGATGTAACGATGCCATCTGCTGGTCTCTGAAGCAAACTTGTGGGTCAGCAATATGATCTGGCTCAGGGAACACTTCTCCAGCTTCACCGCCTGAGCTGCAGGGGGTCGGCAGGCAGCTATTTGATCTCAGCTGACCTTGCCCCCAGGTCTAGTTGGTGCTGGCTGTTGACTGGCTTTGTGCTGATGATGGGCCACGTGTCTCCAGCAGGCTAACCCAGGTTTCTTCTCAGTGGGGTGGTTGCAGGGTTCTCAGGGACAGCAAGAGACAAAACATCCAATACCAAAGTACTTTTAAAGACTACTGGCAATCCGATTGCTTGCCTGCCATTGGTGAAGGTAAGCGGAATGGTCAAGCCTGTCAACCTAAAGGGTAGGTTGAGGCAAAGTAAGTGAAACAAAATAATTTATCTGGCACAGAGTGAGGAAAATTGCCTGGACACCACACAATCTAAGCTGCCCAAATAATGTGTGCGGAGGTCTTACAGATTTCAGGTTGATTTTGAAAGCGAGAGTGGTGAGTGTGGGGAGAGTATCCGGGAGCCCTGTCCAGCAGCGACTGGATGAATCCTGTGAGGGAAGCAGTATGACCTCATGGTGACCTGGAGTCACAATTCTGAGACGGTGAGTCCGGAAGGTGAAGGAGGGGTGTTGCTGGGAAATGCGGATGTTCGTAAACCGGTCAGTGAGCTTAGGTAACATCTCGAGTAATTTTAGGTGTACGTGCCTACCAAAGCCCTCAGACATGCCTAAGGTTTATTTCCTCATAGTGCTGACCTAGGCAGACTGGAACCTCTTGAATCAGAAAAAAAACTGGGCTATTTTTGGATCTATTCTTTTCCTTAGTTTCAGCTCAATGATGTGACATTTTAGCTCAAGTGACTTTGCTTTAGTCTTATCTGTTGGGGCCTAGAGCAAGAACCTGTCCTAAAACAATGGCCTCCTGTAGTTTTTCTTTAACAGGCCCAGAGTCAGTGAGGGGGGCTGCCCAGGGGTGTTCATAAAGGGTAAATAAGCAAGTTGGGGGCCATTTGGTGTGAAAATCTACCATAAGCACCTTCTGTATGCTAGAGGTTGTGCTGGTGGCTAGGAATATAGCAGTGAGCAGGATGGCCCTCGTAGAGCTCAGATTTTAGGGGAGAAAGCAGACAATAAACAAGAGAAGAGGTATGTCGTGGCAATGGGAGCTAGGAAGACCACAGCACAAGATGATTGATGGGGAGTGTTAGGGTGGTCAGAGAAGGTAAGAGAAGCATGAGTGGGTTGTCCCAGGAGGTGAAAAGCAACAGCATGGTAGGAAGCCAGAGCCACACCTACCAGGGCCCCAGCGTGGTAACCAGCTTTGTGTGTTCAAGGAGACCATGGAGAATAGACAGAGACAGGAGAGAAGGGGGAAAGCTAGAGAACAGCAGGGCCGGTGCTGGGACATGGTAGACCATACCTGGTAAGGAATTTGTGTGCGTTTGAGTATTGAAAATCACCAGGAGGTTTGAAGAGAAGGAAGATGCGATCTCATTTATATTTAAAAAGATTCCTTTAAATTAATGGTTTTCAACTGGGAGCGATTTTATACCCCACCTATCCTACCCAGGGGACTTTGAGCAATGTTTGGAGATACTTTGGGTTATCCTAATGGGGGAATTGCCCCTGCCATCTGGTGGGTAGACATCAACAATGCAGCTGTTGAGCATCCCACCAGGACAGGACGGACCCCACCACAGAGCGTGACGCAGCTCCAGGATGTCCACAGTGCCATGGCTGAGAAACTCGGGGTCTAACTGCCTGTGAAAATAAATCAGAGGGCCAGGATGTGAATCATGGAAGAGACCCCTGCAACTGTCCAAGACAGAGACGAGCTGAGTGGAGAGAGCTAGGGTACACTTGGGAGGGGGAATCTGTTTTTGCTGCTGGATGTGGGGAAGAGGAGGAAAGAGAAATCCAGATGACTCTAGGGGTTTTAGTTCAAATGACTGGACAAGGGGAGTGCTGTTTGATGAGATGGGGACATCCCACCACACAAGAGGACTGAACCACGTACTTGGGACTGTCTTCTTTTGGGGGAGGAGCAGGCCTGGAACAGAAGGGATGGGTCATAGAGGTCACTCTGGTAGTGAAAAGGAATCTTGGAACTCCTGGTTGGGGCCAGGGTGCAGGAAGAATGAGAAATGCCAATCTTTTCCTAGGTCTAGCCAACTTAGGGATAGGAAGGATGTTAAGGTTCTGACTATGGGGAGATTATGTTCTTATAAAAGTTGAGGGAGTCCCCATAGTCCTGATGAAATTTGGTGGCTTTTTCTTCTATTTCTTCAATCTGTTTTTGGTGGAGGTCCATAAAGAAACTTATCCATTGGACAGGAGAAGGAACAGAGGCCCCAGAGGTGGAGCAGATCAGGTGACCCAGTTTATACCTGCCATGTATTTACAGGATCAGAGTGCAGGACTCTCATTCTCTCAGCCAACCTGAACCACATGGGCCAGTGTGTGTGTTAAGATATTTGTGAAGGGGGCCAGCAGGTGGTATGGTGGTGGTTAGGATATTGGACTTCCATATGGCTGACCACAGTTCAAGTCCCAGACCCGGTAGCTTGCTTTCTCACTTTTCCTCTCTTTTTGTCTCTTTTTCTCTTTCTGGTCAAATTAAAGAATAATAATAATAATAAAAATAGATAAAATAATTATTTTAAAAATATTTGGAAAGAAGGGGATAGAATGTCAATGGGAAGAGCAAGAGGAACCCACTCTAGCTGGCTTGGTCACTCAGTCATGGCTCCTCTCTCCCCCACTTCCAGACCTGTCTTCTCAAGAGACAGGACTTTCCCAGGAGTGGAGCTCGGTGGAGGAAGATGATGAGTCAGAGGACTCCCAGGTATAGCAGGGGCTGGGGGGTTCCTTTTCCACGAATGTCCCACCCTGCAGATCTCAGTGGGTTGTTACATTTCCTTCTTCAACTTGGAATTTTCCTGCTTCACAGAAGTCCCAGGAGATATCCTGTGACAAACAGGACATATTTACATGGTGGTCAGAGTGGAGGCTTTCCATATGGTGTATGTAACTCCATCCATATATACCCTCCAACCTAAACATTCACCCATTCACCAATCCTTCCATCCTGTAAGTTTGTCCATCCATCCATCCCTCCATCCATCCATCATTCCTTCCATCTGCTCACCCTCCCACCTATGTCACCATTCCATCCACCCACACATTAGTTCATTCATTCATCTCTCAAACATTGATACAGGTAAGAGTAGCCACCTACCTCGTGCATATTAGGAGCTTAACACTATTCTAAGCACATCTCAAAGTAACGTTTGCTGATAGCTTGAATATGGGTGGCAAAAGAAATAAATGAGTCAGGATGCCACAGTTAAAGTACTGGAGGGGCTTAAAGGAGTAATGTGGGGAAGATTGAATGAGTAACTTTGGGAGGGGAGGGTATTATATTTGTTTGAAACATGTAACATTTAAGATGCCCATTAAATATCCAAGTGGAGATGGCACATAGTGAGAAATATAGTTGGAATCAAAGAGAAAGGATCAAGGAATACACACACACAAACACAATCTTTTAGGGGGCAGAGGTCATTAGAGTTTGGATGATATCTTAAAGCTGAGACTTTATATAACAATTTCATTTTGAAATGTTTACCTCATTCTGAAATTTTTATTCTGATGAAGCAAAGATATATTACTTACTTTTGTATATTTATCTTATATCTAGTTACTCTGTTCAGTTTTTAATTCACATATCTTTTCTGTTGATATGCTATTTCATTCCAATCATATAACTCTATTTTTCTGCCAATAATAATGGTTGTCCCTTCCTTTCCAAAATTAATACTTTTTTTTTTCTTTTCTGTTTCAGGGATTTGTGGAATGGTCAAAAGCTCCACAACAAACAACCATAGTCTTGGTAGTATGTGTTCTTTTTTTGTTCCTAGTTTTAACGGGGATGCCTATGATGTTTCACATTTAACTAAGGGTGGCTGTTGTTATGCAGTACATGCTCTGTGTCATGTTGAGGGAGTGTCCTGGTTAAAAATCAGGAATAGATATTGAATATTATCAAATGCCTTTCAAACATCCATTGAGATGATTTTTAAAAACTTTTTTGGTGTGAGGTTTTACATTACTATATTTCATTGACATTAAGATGCCTTTGATTATAAGACATATTATTTTATAAATATCACTGAGAAAGAAAATGCTAATTAATCGTAAGATGCCACCAAATAGAAGATCCTCACTCCAGAGAAAGTGAAAAAAAAAAAAAAAGTGTAACTTAAGAGCAATGAAACCTGGTAGGTTTCCCAATAGCAAATCATCTTTGTATTCTTAGGCTTGTGATGCACCAGTCTTTTCATAAATTGAATTTTATTTCTTGGCATTTTATGTAGGATTTTTGCCTCTAATTTCACATGTGAGATTGGTGCTATCTTTGTGAAACTTTGGTATCATGGCTAAGTTTGCATCATAGAAAGACTTGAGTAACGTTTACCCTTTTCTATGCTTTGAATAGTTTCTGTAGCTTTAGAAGTATCAATTCCTTAACATTTTAAAATAATTCACCAGTACAGTCCAGTTCCACAGCCATGGATGGAAGTTTCAGTTAATTCTTGGGCAGCTTTCTCAGTTTTTATTCTCCTCATGTTATTAGTTTTTAAATACTTCTTAGATTCATTTTGATGGCTTACAGTTTTTTTAATCTCCTAGAAAATTTTTCATTCCATAGAGCTTTTCAGATTATTATGAATACTATTTTATAATTAAACAATAATCTTCTCTTAATTTTTTTTTCTATTCCTTTTCTCTTTTTGACTTATGTTTAGGACTTACTCATTATTAGGTTTGTCAAAGGTTTATCTACTGTTTACTGTTGTTTTTAAAGAACCAGCATTAGGATTTATTTATATTTATTATTTTTCTTATTTATTATTTGTTTTCCTTTAATATGCATTGTATATTTTTTTACTCCTTGTCTCAATTTTTAATTCAAATACTTAATTTATATCTCTTTGTAGTTGCTACAATAGTATAAATGTCCTTCTGGATATAGCCACATCTTAAAGTTTGATGATTCGTATCCTTATTTATGCTGTTGTGTTAATGTTCTATTGTAGTATTTCTAACAAATGCTTTACAACCTAATGATTTCATTTAATTTTTGTTTAAAAATAGTTGTTTTCTTGTTTTCCTGCACTGTGAACAAAGAATGTAGCCTATAATATGTCTGCTTCAAAACCTCTTTTAAACCATTATTGTGGCCTGGAATATGTCTAATTTTGTGTGTTATGAACATTTATAGTAATGTGTCATTTGTGTCTGTGGAATTCAAAACTCTACTTGTCTGTTAAATAGCTCAGTTTCATCAAGTGTATTGTAAAAGTTCATGTGTATTTAATTTGGCCTATTCTACCTGTCAAAAGTCAAAAAGATTATTGAGACTCTTTCAGGTTGATTGTGCTTGTCCATATGCGTTTATAATCGGCCTTTTATGTAGTCAGCAGCTGTGCAGTTTAACGCGTCCAAGTGCAGCAGCATCATGCCTTTGCCAGTTGAATAATCTGTGTAAAACACTAAGCACAGTGCCAGGCACACAGTAGGCGCTCAATAAATGTTAACTAAAATCTGATTCTAAATCCTTTGTCAAATATTAAATGACTGTCTTCAACCAATTTAATTCTTTTCCTTAAAATTGACATCTGACACTGGTCCATGTTACTGTCTTGCTCTTTTTAAATTCCTCTCTCTGCGATTTTCAGCAGAGAAATGAGCAGAGAGAAGCAGGGGGTTATCTCCCTGGTCATCCCTCTCTCGAGCTGCTTACATCCAGAAGGAACTGGCCCTTACAAGACAGGAACACAGGCCCGACGGTTACGGTTACTGGGATTTTATTAGCTCCTGTTAAGAGAAGCTCAATTCAAATAAGCTTTAACGAAATACTAATTTTTTGGCTTATGTGACACCAAAGTCAGGGATGAAGTTGGCCTCGTGGATAGCTGGTTCGAGGGACCCCAGAATATCACTGGGGCTCTTCCTCCTAGTTGGCCTCACAAGTATGTAGTTTCTGAGGGGGCCTCCCTCTCTCCTGCAGCCTTTGCAACCCTGCAGTCACCTCTTCCCCATGGCCGAGTGAGGTCCTAGGCAGATGCTTGTCACACACACTGGCAGCTCCCACCCCTGCTCGCTCAGAGGAAGCAGTCTTGAAATAAGAGGCAGAGGGTGCGGCTACTGCAAAGGCCCGACGAGGCAGACGGGGCAGCAGGGCAGAGGCAGGGCGGGGAGTCAGGAGAGCTGTCCAGGAGGGCAGATGAGGCAGGGCAGAGATGAGCTCAGACAGCCACAGACCTCTCAGCTCACTGGTAAGTCAGGGTCCTCACAATGGCTGTTGGCCTCGTGCCCACCGCCTGGAGGATGAAATCCCTCCCTCTCTTGCCAAACTTGCCTCTTTGCTGTTTTCTCAAACATGTCCATCGCGAGCCTGCCTCAAGGTTTGGCATGGCTGTTCCTCTGCCCGAAGGCCCTTCCCCCAGAAGCTCACACAGCTCCCTTCTGTCCCTCAGATCTCGGATGTCACCTCGGAGAGGCCACCCTGACCTCCCTCTGCAGGTCACACCCAGCTTGTGCTCATGGCCCGCGCCACCTGACAAGTGACGGGTTTCCGTGGTCCCCGCCTGGCGTCTTCAGTGCCCACTCCTGCCCCTTTGGCGGCTTTCGCTGGGGAGATGAGTTCTGTGAAGGCGGATTTTGGGGAGGGAGTGTTGGTGGGCCCCCAGGAATTCCCCGCACATCACCCAGCATTGTCCACCCCTCACCCATGAAGCTGCTGTGTCCCTTCCTCAAACGGAGCCAAGGCCCGGGGCGATGTCCGGATGTAGTAGCTCCTGGCGAGCCGGGTGGAGAGACTGCTGGCAAACGGGACATCTGCAAGCACAGGGACGTATCAGAGGGCCCCGTGCCGGGCCTGGGGACGGGTCTGAAATTCTCGTACGGAGCTAGCCCCGCGCGGATGGGCAATTCTGACCCAGCGAGCGATGGTCTGGGTGTTGACCCGCCTGCCGCACGCTGCCACCAGGGGGCACCTGTAACATCCTGAGCTGTGGGGGTTCAAAGCCTGTCCGTTGTTGTTTTTTCTCCCTAATCTTATCTGTTAATCCTCACATCCCCAAACTGAGCAAAAATCAATTTTTGGTAACTCTTCTTCCAGGGACTGGGCGCCCTTCACAGCTGTGGAGACATCGTAGACTCTAACCTGCAGGTGCTCCCGTCTCTTTCTGCAGCGGGAGGAATTCATTCTCGTCACACCCTACTCCCCACCCCTGCTCGGCCTGTGGCAGGAGCTCACATGCGTGCCGGAGCAGAGCAGTAGGCGCGAGGCTGAGCTCCAGAAGGAACCACTCTCTGCTGGTGCAGGCCCACGCCTGCGCACTGCACTCGGGTGGGGGGAGGGAGGGTCCCGGAAGCGTTCAGGGAAGGGCGCCAGCCCTGCCCGTGGCCCTGCCCCTTCTGGTCAGAAGGCGTTTTCCCTGCTTTCTCGAGAGACTGAGCTCTGCCCCTAGTCTGTAAACTGGGGTTGCATTTCGCTTATTCATCCGTTCATTGGCATTTTCTGAGCACCTACTACGCGCTGAGGCCTGGGCTGCAAAGTGTGGGTCAGAGGGAGGACCCAGAGTACGTGGACCCTGATTCTGAATGGTTCTGGGGCTGGTGCTGGGGATGGTCAATTCATTTTGCCACGCAGCATTTCTTGAGGGCCTACTATGTTCTGAGGCCTGTGTGGGCAACGAAGTTCGGATCACAGGAAGAAACAGGTGTGGCCTTGACCCTGTGGGACTGCAAGCGCTGAGGATGTTCACCTGTTCATCCCCTTACCTGGCTGCTGAGCACCTACTGTGTGCCAGGCCTGAGCTGGGTGAGGTACAGAGCATAGCAGATGCCAACCACATGGTTCTCTGTTCCTGAATGACTCCAGGGTGACACAGCTATTCAGTCAGTCACTTGCAGTCGTGAGGACCTACTGTGTGCTGAGGCCCAGGTGATGTTGGGCATACTGGTGAGACTCAGACACCACGGTTCCTGTCCCTGCAGGGCCTCAGAGCTGCTAAGGAGTTTCTCCCTCACTTACTTATTCACTTTGACATTTGAGGGCCTACTACGTGTAGAGGTTTGGCATATGAAGCCAGGACAGAGGAGCAAAAGACAGAATGAATCCCCTTTTGTCCTCCCAGGTCCCTCGCCAGCCTCCTTGGCATGCTCAAAGGCA